CAAGGTGGCAGCCTGTTTTGTCAAAAAGCATCAGCCACAGTCCTTCCCAGCTCCTTGGAAGATAAACAACCCCTGAACCATTCACAGGCTTAAGGGGAAGGAGGACTTGCAGCTTTATTAACACCTGAACTCCTGCCAGGGCCATTCCTTGCACACAGAGCTCTGCGTTCTGGGGGAAACCTTGCTATTGCTTTAACAGCCTTAAAAGCCTAAAGTTCACACAGAATTTGCCTTCTACCTTTTAAATTGTGATGAAGTTGCACAATATTTTAATCAAGTGTCTTCTTGTAGCTTGCTTTTTGTTTCTACAAATATAAACATTCCAATTTTGCAAGACCTAAGCCAGGTGAAGCTGTATGAAAAATACAGTACTATCATATCATTTTAGACTATTGCTCTCCTCCAGAGGTGGGAAAAAATATATTGAATTAAAGAATAACTCACTATGCTACTCAAGTACATAACAACTGCCTCTGAACCTTATGGGTTCTCTTTTTATTATTTTGAAGCATGTAGGACAAAAGAAAGGACACAGTAGTTTGGGGTTTGGAACAGAGTCCTAGGATCAAACCCTGAAGTGTCTCATTTCGTTTGCTGCTAAAGCCATCATCTCCAGAGGACAAAGAATTCCTGCTGAACTCCCCCAAAACCAGACCAACAATATTAGGCTTTGTAGATGGTGAAAAGTCTACTGTAAACTAGTCTAATGGAAAGTCTATGTGAAAAGTCTACTGTAGATGAGACAAACATTATGAGTTTTTTTAGAAAAATGTAACAGCATTTAACTTTTTCTATCAGAGATTAATGGGGTGTTTCACACTTATGAATTACTTTATCATGATTAAATGTAAATTCCGCTTATAATATATAGCCAAGTCATCCATAATTTGATATACTCTTTAGCAGGTATGAAAACTGTTCAGCATTTCACATCCCAAGGCACTTCGTTCAAAGTGATCCACAAGCTTATTGAAGCAAACAAGATGAGGCTGGTATCTCAAATGCTTTACATCCTGAAAATTGAGAGAATCATTAAGACTGAAGAAAGAGAGTCTTAAACTAATTTAAGAGTTATGCTGACTCTTCATTCCACAAGGTGGTCTTGGACAACAGCTTGTAAAGGAAGCTGTTCAATTTAAACTATCATTGAAGACATAGCTTTGAAAATGGTATCTGCCATTGAAAAAAATAACATTTAACTCATTTTTAGTAACCATTTGCTCTCCTCAGTTCTACGCAGTTAAAAGACCTGCTTTTCTTTTAATACTTCCATGAAAAAGTCTCTAGCATTGATTGACAACCTTCCCCAAAGAAAAGCATTGCAACTGCAGACATTAACCTTTGAGTAAAACACTTGTGCTTTTCTCTGCATGAGACGTGTTTTCCCTACCTGTATAGAAAACACTTCCACCAATAATTGTCCATGTGCCCTGCACACAGTTTCCATTGTGGTTCACGCAAAATATTCATAGTTTTTAGATGCACTGAAAAATATCAACTTTTTAAAAGTTATAATTCAATCAATTCTGCAACATACTACTAATTTGACAGAGAACAAAAATAAATTGAAACTCTAAGCACACTTCAGTTCTAAAAAGCATATAGATGTAAAGGCTAAGGTGAGAAATCCTTTAAATAAAACTTTACCAACAAAATGTGTAAGGAGGCAAAGTAATTGCAACTAATCTTTTATTGTATATTTTTATTAACAAGTATTTTTTATTTGGGGCATGCATAATAACATTGCCACAATATATCAATCAGAGCATTACAACAGAGATTACTTGGAAATTTTGTGACCTTCCTTTACTGCTGCTGCAGTCTTATTTAAGATTAAAAGTTCTCTTTAATATGCCAGATTGATGCAACAGTCCACCTTCAAAAGGCATCAAACAAGATTTTGGCGCAAAGTACAACCTCAGCTGAAAGTTACATGACACCAGCAGATGTTCCCCATGAAGACAAAATACCAAATCTGTGCTACAATCTGAATTACAACTGGAACAGGAATAAAGGAACTCATCACAGAATCACAGGATGGTTGAGGTTGGAAGGGACCCCTAGAGACCATCTAGTCCAACCCCCTGCTCCAGCAGGGACACCCAGAGCACGGGGCACAGGGCGGCATCCAGGCGGGTTTGGAAGATCTCCAGAGAAGGAGACTCCACAGTTTCCCTGGGCAGCCTGTGCCAGGGCTCTGTCACCCTCACAGGGAAGAAGTTCTTCCTCACTGCATCATCTAGCAACTATGTTGAAGCAAAACAATAAGAAACAAAAACCTAATTATTCTTTCTGTTACTTACTGTCATTACTTGAAAAATTATAAGAAAAGCTTGTTTTTCTATGGAGAATCAGTCATGCCTCATCTAAAACCCAATACACTGAGGAGACAGCAATGTGAAATGACACTGAATTGCCTGGGTCAGATAGTGCTTAACAAGTGAGTTACAGCAGATGAAGAAATGGTTGTTCTTTGCTATCCATTCTGCCCCTTCACTAGGAACAATACCTCAGTAATACAATGGAGCATATGTTTAAGCTATTTCAGTTGCAGCTAAACCCCCAGACTTCCCACCAAAACACACAGGGGAGAACATATACATAAGTCTGCCAATACTGTTGCAAAGAAGCTAACATTAGAGTAGTAAGTAGTCTGGAACAGCTAAGACTGTGGCAGTACTTTTTGTGAACCAGTGTTACTATGAGCATAAACTAATACTCAGCCTTTCAAAAGGTACCTAGATAAATACGGTAAATATATAAGATGTGGCCTTTGTATTTACAGTGTGCAAGGTAAGGACAAAGTCTCACCTTTGCATCTGAACTACACAGTTAGAAGTCTGGGCCCAAAATCAGGCCCATAATCCCCAGTTTGAAATATCAACTTGTTTATTAATAATTATTATTTAAGGAATGTGGCTGTTATCCTGAGTTGCTATGTAAGCTATCTGTAACACCTTTTTTTTTTTTGCACAGATGAGAAGCTGTGGAAGATGTGAAAAAAATATGTATGTATACTCACTTGGGATGCACATTTAAGGTGACTTTGTTCTAAACTCTAAAAAAATCTTTCCAACTGCATGTAGTACACTCCTAGTCTTGCCTGTAGCATGAAAAACGTGTTCCAGATTTAATACAGATTTCTATGAAAACCAAGGAGAAATGCACAATGATATCAGCTTTAATACATGGAAGCTCATATCCCCTGAAACTTAAGTCAAATTTGTTATGGAAGGTACTGAAGCAAGAAAACTTAAGGGTGAAGATTTATTTATACAGAGAATTGGCATAATATTGACACAGCAACATGAGCATTCTCTACTGCTCTCACTGGACAGATTTACAGATTTTTAAAGTTCTGTGGCAAGGTCAACCTCTGGTTTTGGCAGAGTGCCAAAACGCACAAACCCTACTTGTTATGATTGTGATTTCATGGCAAAGGACTTCTCTTCCAAAGGGCATTAATTTTCTGACCTACAGTATACAGTTCCAAGAATATAAACAATGATCATTTTAGTTGGAGAGATTTAACCAGGTACAAGGCAGCAGAGCGGTTCCATTACATCCTTGCACCTTGCAGTTCATGATTAACATAAATTTAAACCTTTAAACAAAAACACAGCAGCACGTCGATAAAGGGGAAGTCAAAAAACCTACCCCCATTTCAGAATCAAGATGGTAAGTCCATCAGTCAGGCACCATCAGCCAGTGCTGCATTTGAACCAGTAGTTATCTGGTGAAAGACCAAATCCCCATTGAGAACCACTGACAAATGTAGTTCTCTTGATTTTTTTTTTGTAGTCTTTCTACCAAAGGCACCCTTCTCCTCCAAAAATAACATTTCATTTGCAGCAGTAAGCATACACTAAGTTCTCATTAGTTAAAAACCTGCTATAACTTAGAAACATTACTCTTCATGCTTTTAAAGCCCTTGCACATGCAACAGAAAATGAGTGTCAGAACTGGGTCACACCAAGTAAAAATAATTTTGGTAACATATTTTTTCACAGCAAAACATATCAGTTCTGTAAACAACAGGATGCAACTTCATTTCTGCATTAGATCTTATTGTAAGCAGAGACAAGGGTGGGATAAGAATTAATAGATGCCAAAAGATCACCCAAAAGACGACAGAAGATGACCGAAAAGGGTAAATCCCACACCATTACAGCTTAAACATGCAGAACAGCAGGATCACACAATAATTCAGGCTGAATGACATCTTGGGAAGTTATCAAGTGTCAACACTGAATTCAGATGAGGTAAAAAATGTTTAAACCAAAACAGACCTTCCTTTTTAAAGCATTTAAATTTGATATATACAGTTATACTGTATATATACAGTTAAAAGGTCCAGATAAACTGCACTCTTTTTAACTATGTGCATGTTAGACAAGAAAATTGAACTGAGCGGCCATACACGTAAATCTATGCATCTAACCTCTTACAATTATGTTCACTTAAAAAAAGTTCATATTAAACCATGGCTTAGGTGATGCATTCTTCCTTCACAACAGATGGCTACATTATATGGAAGAGTTTTTATACAAATTATAATTCTGGTAAATATAGGCTGGCACTGGTCTGTGTGCAGAACTCCTGAACTGTGAACAGACATCACACATTTTCACTTAATACTCTTGTAAAACCAATATTTTTCAGAGAAGCAAGAACAAGTGCAACAATTCATACATTACTTTCCCATTTTTAATTTAGTAATTGTTAAAGAATTTCAGAGCAGGCACTACATTATTTGAAACACAATCAAATATCTTTAACATCATTTTGAAAAATAACCTCTTCATCTTAGCGCGCACACACACACACACACACACACACACATTAATTTAAAAAATCTGTATGCATTTTCCAGGAAGCAACTTAAAGAACTGTACCACAAAGGATTAGCTTCTGCACTCTGACACACCACAAGTTATAATCTGTTTGTTGATAAATGAATTTCAGGACACACAATGCCATGCAATGCTATTAAATAGAAAAAGAACTGTTAAAAGAAATTTATTTATTCAGTGCTAAGTGAAAGTGCAGAATTCCTTAAATAAAACAAAGGCCAATTTATCATAGACCAGAAACATGTACTGTCTCTGAACTAGACAGGCCCCTGCTACATCCCCTTAAGTCAAATCTCTTGATAGACAAGAGTAAGGAAGTATGATCCTGAAAATCCAATGTACTTTATTTCTCATTATTGGTTGTGAAGATGATTCAAGAAAGGAGTATCCTTGTTGATTCTGAGTCTGAAAGTCCATCTTCTTGATTAGCAGCCTCATAATCGCCTGCATTATCAGCTAATTCAATGTCTGGGTCATCATTACTCTCTGCGCTGTAATCAATTTCTTCAAGGAAGCGAGGCTCATCTTCATCCAAAACGTACGTAGTGGGGCTGCAATGAACAAGAAGCTGCATGAATCATTTTAGAAGGTTTAGTCCGCACTCTGCATTCAGGTTCTACACCTTCCTGCTCCTAACATACAGAAATCCAAAAAGTCATCTCAGGAAAGGAGCAGTGCACCTGAAGTATTGATTTTTAAATTGCACGTAAAACATCTGAGACAAAAGCACACTTTAAAGACCTTGAACTAATTAGTCAAATATGCACAGCTCGTTATCCACATATGACCTAAGTTAGCTACACTTTATGGAGCTATACAAATAGCATGTAAGTAGTTCATATAAATATGACAGTATCAGAGGTGTTGTAGAGGATACAAATACACAAAGAAACAGCTACTGCTCCTAGGTTTAAACAAACTAAAAAACAGATCAACGTGTACAAATTCAGTTAGGAAATCTTTGTATTTTACTAAAAGACACATTTAACTGGAGAGCACTTTGAGTGCAGCAGAGGTGACAAAAAACAACCTTTGGTCTACAGCTCATGTTAAGTTCCCATACAGTTCCTTACGTCCTCGTGTACTTGCAAAAACATTCATAAATTAAACTTTAAATCTGGCAACCCAAAGTTTTACATTTTAGGAACTGAGCTACTAGTCACAGAATGGTCTATAGTATCTGTGCCCATAACTAACAGTCTCCAAGACTAACAAGTATAAACACTATTAGGTTAAGCAGAGAAAGGAAAAAATAAACTTTTTTGATCATTTCACCATTCTCGTAAAGAGACAGAAATAGAGACCAATGTGTTCTCCATGCATGCTTTTACTGCTTTCTCTTGGGACATAAAAAGCTATCTACTTAAAAGCACTATGTATCTCTAAATATTTCATAAGTAGCTTTAAATTCAGATGAGGTCCCAAGGTTTTTCTGATGCACTCATTTTAATGGATAATTAAATCATACAGAACTCATACAAAAACTGTTAGAATATTTCTGTTTACTGAAAAATAACGATTGGTATTTGAATAAATGCTAGGTATTAACTTTGATGAATTTCATTTTAAGGCACGCAACAGCCTGCCTCTGCTATGACTTTATAGTTGAATAAGACTAAGTCTAATCATTACTTTTTTTCTAAAAGTCTTTTTAAAAACTTCAGTGGAACTCTTGAGTGCTGTCTCTATTCAGTACAAATAAATTTAATGCTATTCTGTCTTTTGCAAAGGGGTAGTATTTTCATTAGCTTCCAGACAGGTGAAAAGAATTGTCTGACCTAAGTTTGAAACAACAAAAAGAAAAAAAAAGATAAAAGATAAAGAACTGATAACTGGCATCTTTACTGATAAGCCTCTTTCATTTTATGATAGAGAAATCACGATTGCATGTGGCTATTTTGCACAAAGCAGCTGGGTAGAATCATCCAAAGAAAATAAGCCCTGGCAAGTCACTACCTGAAAACACTTCTTTAGAATAGAGGAAAATATAGACTTGAAATTTTTTGATTTGTTTCAAAGACAAAAAGGAATTCTACCAAATGTATCTCATACCAATTGATGGCCTCTTTTTTCTGCAACTTCTGCCTCTAATTGCTTAATATTGATACTGATTTTTTAGGTTTCTTACACAAGGAATGAACACTGTAACTGCAGTAACTGTGGAACTCCATTTAGAGGAAATAGAGCCATTAAATCTGAATGCTGCACCAATATTAACTAATAATTCTGAACACTGAAATGTAAAATTAGAATGAGCTGTGTCAATGACTAATATTTTATTAGCCATTGACAGTGGAATGTTAATACATAAGAGATACATTACCACAGGGATTTACAAAATGATTAATGATATTGAGGTGTAAAATACAACAGGGAACTTTTTCAAAATATCTATACTTTTTTTTTTTGGTAAATATCATGATTTGGAAAATAAACACATATGGTTAGTCCAGTGGAAGAAGAAAAAAAAAGCAACTAACAAAAATTATGTAGGCAGAAAGCACAAAACTGCACAGTTAGGAAAGTCATTTAGTTCAGTACATATAAAATGCCTTGCCTTTTTACAGAATATGCTCTGTTGAGGATTACAAAGCACATATATACACATATCTATCTAGGGCACTGTAAGGTACAGAAAGTACTATCGCTGCAATATTTTACACCTTTATTTTAGGGTAGATACAAATAAATAATAGTAAAGGCAAGCTTAGCCCCAGGAAGATTTAAAAGCATGGAAAATTGAAGCACACAAACTTCGATCTTAGAAATTCAGCCAATGTGCAAAGTCGTGAACAGCATTTCAGACTTTCACTATTGCACACATGCCAAATTCGGGTCAAAAGCAGACCGATTTTTTTAGTTAACATTTTTCCATTTAATAAATTCAAATCTACTTTATAATTTATTTTCTCTACTTAACAAAAGCACTGGTCCCAGTAAAACTGGTCCCAGATGCACAGACCTTAATTCTCACAACTACTTGATACTTTTAACATAAGCACTAGCTTAATGTTACCTTTTTTACTACCATCTATGACACACAGTGTCACCTCTATCATCTACTACAAATACAAAATATTGGGATTATCTCTTAAATTAAGATATATTTTATTTTCCCATTCTTGAGTTATTCCTCACCCAATAGTATATGAATATTCATTGCAATTGCTGAAATACAGGTGCTGCATATCATTCTCAAATATGGCTTATTTTCTTTTGATATAGCAAATTTCAAGCTGGGATATTTAGCTTTATAGCAACTTTATTCTGTAGGTGACCATTAAACTTGCCAAGTACAGTTATTATTTCACTGTTTCACCAAGGCAGGGTCACTAGCAACACAGAAATCTAAACACCTGAAAAAAAATCCTACTGTTTAATCAAATTCTTTATTTGCCTCCCTGCTGCTCTCTCCCACCAGCATATCTTGTGACAATATATTTTTAGCTGCTGTCATGCTGATTCTATGGGTTTTAATTTCCTAACTTTTCCCATGGGCTGTTTCTAATTAACTTACTCAATAATCACTCTTCCTCTATCCCTGCACCTCCTGCTTTTCTTTTTTAAAGGAAGCCGTTATTTTTCCTCAGGTTAGGAGAGGTTGTTTATCAGACAACAAGGTTTTGTAATGTAATCTATGTCATAATTTGTTTATTTATAATGCTCTTGGTAAAAATCAGTTTTCAGATAAATATCTAAATATTTAGATACCATTTTATGAGTAAAAAGATGAACTTCTAAATGTGAATTAGTATACCTGTTACCATACTGTGGTCTGCATGTCCACAAAGTGCTAGTACTTTCTAAGAATATTGCTTTCACTGAAATACACACGCATAGATATATATGCATGTAAATATACATATATGCATGTAAGGAATTCCCCACACACACTTCCTGTCATTTAAAACATTCAATTTAGGAATGAACACTACTTACAAAAACAAGACTTCATTAATTAAAAAAAATCAATATATCACTGCTTAATGTTTAATTTAATGCTCTAAACATATTAATAAATCCAGTCTCCAATACAAATGATATTTTTCCAGTTAAAATGGTCTTTTTCGTCCCTCAAAAGATATATTTGGATTTTTAATTATCCATAGGAGTCAATTATGTCGAAATCAGCCCACATGCCACATGCAATCAACACCAGTTTCAAGCCCACAGAGATAAACATTTTCTCTGGGACTATGGAGGAAGACTACATTTATAAAAATCAGAGGAAAAACAAAGAACTACTTCCTGCCAAAATACAGAGAGTTGCAGCTGTCTGGGGAGTTGGGAAAGGAAGGAAAGAAAATCTGTAGTAATAACTCCTTTTAAAACTGTGTTACCAGGGGAGGGAAAATGAGGTGAAAAGGAATCAGGAAATATCACAAAAGAATCATTTCTCAAAGCTTTTCCTTTTTATTTCCCCTTAGAGTCTATATTGCCTGTTAGAGATCAACAAAGCCTCTACAGTAGGCAATGTCATTGCACGTGCAGCTGCATTTGCTGTTGCTGTCCCTGTGAGAGCTCTTCACTGGTGCATTTTTACCAAGTAGCAGGATGCTTGCTAAAGGAAATTTCCAAGTTCAAACAGGTAAAGTTACACATCATACTGATTTCCAAGCCCCAAGTATCCAAACACTTGTGGATTTCACTCTACAGCCTAAGAAACTAATCTCCACACTTCCTTCGTGGCACTGCCTACAAGTTACTTTCTGCAAAACTCAAAACTGGACTAAATCACTAGCACTTTAAACACCAATAATTGCATCATGCTAACAAAAGTGGAAACTTACACTTTTAGTAGTAATGTCTCCCTACTCATCCCATGTCCTTATCTCATCCCCATCTCCATACTGCATCCTGGAAAAGACTATTTTAAAGTACGCTTTTTTTCTGTGTTAGAATATTGTTTGGAACAACAATAGAGAGAGGTTGGCTTCTGTAATCCCCAAAATTCTCTGTAACCTTTTTCTACAGTCTACAGTCAAACAGCTTGTACAATTCCTACAGTTAAAAGTCAGATGACAAAGGATGGACTTGGTTTAGGAAGTTACAGGAGGGCACTCTCTTCTTACAACTGCCACCAGGCCCAAGAGTGAAAGCTCAGGTATCATGTTCAACAGCTTTGTCTTTTGACCTTCCAAGGGAAACAGGACAAAGGCTGCACTGAAATTTTTAATTGAACTGTGTTCCTAACATACCGAAAGGCAAAGAAAACGTTCGCAGATGTCACCCTGGAACACTGAAGAAAGATGGGAAGAAAAACTTCCACTCCTCATTTGTGAGTAGGAATATGCAAAAATCTGGACAAAGTTTAAAAGTTCAAGAGTGAATAAGGTGGTGAGAGCAAAAAATGAGTGTAGGTCAAATCCAGTTTCCTTCTGGCAGTCCAGGAAGAGACTCACTGCCAGAAGGTCCTAGTCCAGTTCTCTGTTACACGTATCCCTCATTCCTTTCCCTACCAGTCAGATGTATTCTCTCAAATGGCAAGACCTCAAGGGCAGGATATGAATTTTGCAGTCTTCTCCTTCCCGCTCCCCTCTTTTTTGTGTGT